ATGTATAGTACCTTTTGAGAGAGACATGAATGGTTGGAATAGAAACCTCTAGTTGCTACCATGTGGACAAGATTTTCTAGATGATATTTTTAACAATGGTAGCAATTCTTGCAAATTGATATCTAAGAGACAGATATTTATATTGTCCACACTGGTGATATGTGTAATTCTATTCCTCTAAATCATCCCATGCAATGTTCTTTTCACTTAGCATAAACATCTAAACTAAGAATTTTAAATGTTGTGGCAGTAATGAAATCTTGTATTGGTATTACTAGCAATGTATAGTAGTACCATCATCTTTCTCTAGGAGTACTACTATATAAAACTGGATCTTGGAATCAGACCTTGAGTGAAACACATTATTAGAATTAAGCACTTCTCTCATTTGCATAAGTTCTTAATTAAATTCCAGGCTTCGAGTTGTTCATTAGAAAATAGATATATCTTTTGGAGAATATTATTTTGTCATTGTATTGGTATTATTGGCAATGTATAGTACCTTTTGAGAGAGACATGAATGGTTGGAATAGAAACCTCTGGCTGCTACCATGTGGACAAGATTTTCTAGATGATATTTTTAACAATGGTAGCAATTCTTGCAAATTGATATCTAAGAGACAGATATTTATATTGTCCACACTGGTGATATGTGTAATTCTATTCCTCTAAATCATCCCATGCAATGTTCTTTTCACTTAGCATAAACATCTAAACTAAGAATTTTAAATGTTGTGGCAGTAATGAAATCTTGTATTGGTATTACTAGCAATGTATAGTAGTACCATCATCTTTCTCTAGGAGTACTACTATATAAAACTGGATCTTGGAATCAGACCTTGAGTGAAACACATTATTAGAATTAAGCACTTCTCTCATTTGCATAAGTAAGTTCTTAATTAAATTCCAGGCTTCGAGTTGTTCATTAGAAAATAGATATATCTTTTGGAGAATATTATTTTGTCATTGTATTGGTATTATTGGCAATGTATAGTACCTTTTGAGAGAGACATGAATGGTTGGAATAGAAACCTCTAGCTGCTACCATGTGGACAAGATTTTCTAGATGATATTTTTAACAATGGTAGCAATTCTTGCAAATTGATATCTAAGAGACAGATATTTATATTGTCCACACTGGTGAAATGTGTAATTCTATTCCTCAAAATCATCCAATGCAATGTTCTTTTCACTCAATATAAACATCTAAACTATAAAAAATATATATATTATATTTTTTATTTAAATGTTGTGGCAGCAACGAAATCTTGTTGTGGGAACAAAAAGAGCCATATGTCAATCAATGGCTAACGCTCTAGCCACTTCAGTTTTAGTAATTCTCTTCCGTGTGTTGCCCTTGGTGGCTGATGATGGCATTTGCCAGCCAATGGTGGTGTCACAAGGCTATGTTTGTGAAGACCATTAAGTATGATTTTTTATGCACTATTTAATGTACTATGTCCTCTGAGTTATGTATTTACTGATGGATTAAGCGACTTGAATGAAATTAACTATTTAATGTACTATTAAGTATGATTTTTTAGGTTATGTTTGTGTTGCCCTTTTTTTGAATTTTGTTTTTTTGTTTTTGTTTTTTTGTTTTTTTTTTTAGATAACCAAGGCCGAATGAACTTAAATGACCGAACAAACTAAGTTTGTCTGCTTATATCTAATCGAATGAGCTAAATTGATGAAATTTATTCAACCTTAGTCGTCCAAACAACCTTAAAATATTTGGCTGCCAACCTTAGTAGTCTAGTTTTTGCCCAAAGTTTTTGCCCAAAGTTGTTGCTTAGGCAAAGTGTTGTTTCCTAAAGGAAGGTCCCCCAAGTGTATTTGAGGTCAGTGAGCCTACAGAACAAAGGCTTAGTTTCTTGCATTATAATGCTCCTTTCAGTAGGTATGTCAGTGTCATATATGAAGTGTTTCCCTTGGTTATCTTGAGCAAATTGATGCATCTCAATAGGTCCTTGAATATGAGTTAAGTTCCCAAAGTTTCCATTACTTACATTTATAGATAAAAATATTATATTGTTTGCAAACTACAAATAAGACTCGGACCAGTTATTCAACTTAGCAAGAATGAAGAATCCCTGAATACCTCTTCTCCTTGGCCTTCTAACTATGCAACTCAAAATAGTTGACACAGTGACCATAAAATGCTTATCATGTCATGCACACACACTGTGAAGAGCATGAAAATGGTTTTGAAACCATATGGTCAATAATAGAATGATATATGAAACCATATCATGTCATGCACACACACTGTGAAGAGAATAATATGGTTTCACTAGTACTAATCTTTTCATATATCATTCTATTTGCATAAGTTCACTAGGTTATTCGAAGATGTGCAACGCAAAGTTTACCCGACATGTGAAAAGTTTTCTGTGTTATCATTCGTCATTAAGATGCTTCATGTGAAGGTGTACAACAAATGGAGCAACAAGTCATTCGATATGGTTATGCAGGTATTCAAGGACATTCTACCAGAATGTGATCAAATAGTTCCATGGACACTCTATGATGCTAAGAAGTTCTTACGTGACTTGGGTTTGGAATATGAAACAATTCATTCATGCAAGAATGATTGTGCACTATTTTGGAAGGAGAGTGCTAATTTGGAGAAATGCCCTACATGTGACGCGTGTAGATACAAGTTGAACGATGATGGTGGTAAAAAGATTCCACACAAGGTATTACGGTACTTTCCATTGACACCGAGGTTGAAAAGACTGTATATGTCCAAAAAAACAGCCGCAGATATGAGATGGCACAATGAGAAGCGTGTGGATGATGACATTTTAAGGCACCCGGCCGATGGCGAAGCATGGAAGGACTTTGATAAGCAACATCTGACGTTTTCTGATGACTCTCGAAATGTAAGGCTAGGGCTGGCAACAGATGGTTTCAATCCATTTGGGAATATGAGCACATCATATAGCATGTGGCCCGTAATCTTAATGCCTTACAATCTCCCACTGTGGAAGTGCATGAAAGAGCCATATTGCATGATGTCATTGCTTATTCCCAGACGTTCGGCACCTGGAAGAGACATTGATGTGTACTTGCAACCATTAATAGAAGAATTGAAGAATTTGTGGGAGCATGGTTTGCAAACATATGATGCATCGAACGGGGAAATTTTTAGAATGCATGCGGCGGTAATGTGGACCATAAATGACTTCCCTGCGTACGGTAACATGTCAGGGTGGCGTACAAAGG